TTGTATGATACGATTTAGTAAAGTAACTTGGAAAGAAAATAATACTAATTGATAGTCAAAGCACAAATTGTTACTAAAATACCAACTACTTGGTTACACATTAAACTAATTTACAAATGCTACTTACATTCCAAAAACAAAACAACAAATGAGAAACAATAAAGCATATTATGTTTCACATGCTGGTGAATCACACATGGTAAATCACCAAAGGGAAGAGTGATTTATGCTCGAAACCAGCCAAGACTTTAATCAATATTGGGTGTCACATCTCAGGAGGTTGGGGGAAGTAGTGAGGCAAAAACAGAGTGGCTAACATTGGTCTCAATCGTTTATATATAACTTCTGTGAAATATAGTAGATTAACAAAAAACAGTAGCTGATTTGGACTAATAAATTAAGAGTGAAAACTGTGTATTAAATGCAAATACAAAAATTCTGTAGGGGAATTCTGAAAAAAAAAAAAGCTTGTTTTGTATTTTAGTCTACGTAAATATTTGAAGCTTCACAAAATACTCCATGTGCAAATCACGTTTTCTCAGAGCGTTAACTAATAATCTGTGGAGTTCAGAAAGTAAACCGTCTTCAAAACTACGTGCACTTTTTACAATAATGATTATAACATTATCGAAGACTAACTCCAAGAACAACAGGTTTGAAAGATATTATCCAAATAACTCAAGAATTTGTATTTTGCAATATAATTTGATTAAACAAGGTAAATTTTAGGTTACAATATTCTCAGGTTTAACTTATATATTAGTTATTAAACCATAATTTCCTAAGATTTTTAAGGTATACAGAAATAAGTGGTAGAACCAGATTTAAACTTTTATATTCAGGCCTTAGTCTTCTAATTATGCCATATTCTTTTTGAAATGGTATAAAATGAAATATTAGGCTTTATAGAAGCTATTAATCTCCTGTAATACAAAAACTTCAAAAGCACAGTCTCTCTTCATTTGAAGTAATTTTTTTAATTTCCATGTGCAAACTATCATAATTATCTGTTAGAAGTGAATCTGTATTTGTGTTGAAACTTTCTATGATGATGCATAAGTTCATAAGTCTTACCATTGAAAAATATGCAATGAGGGAAATGTTAAAAAAAGAGAGGCTGAGTCAGTGTGCCATCTTTATTAAAACTCCTAGTTGGTATTTAAAAAATCGAGCCAAGCATTGGAAAATATTTTATACTTCTTATACTAAAATTGCATCCATATATTACTACTGAATAAAAAAGACTTGCAAAGTCTTTGAATTTGCTGTCTATGGATGGTATTAACTTTTAAGACAAAAAAGTACTGCTTGTGAATATATGTATATGCATATAAAATGTCTGATAAAACTAACTGAAATCCATTCAAGTCAAAAACTTAACAAATCTAGGGCTACACAGTACCCAAATCACAATCTGCTTTGAAAGATCCCGAGACAAAATCATCTTCTGGCAATACTCAAAAAATAAGCATTTTGGATCAAATAAAAGTCACTTTTTATTACCTGAATTCACAGAAAATTGCATCCTCATCCAAATCTACAAACAAGAGACTGACTCATACAGAGACTTGACCATCTACATAATTACTTTTCTTTTTCTGTTGTTGTTTAATGGTTGCCAGTTAATTAAGTGACTTCTGTTGCAACAGCCAAGTTCATGCAACTAATGTTTAGTTTAAAAATAATAATTGAAGGAAGATGATCAAGGTCAGACTTTATCTTTTGACAACTTTTAAATATATTTTCTTACATTTTCTTTCATGTATTGAGACCTTTACTTTTAGCTTTACTTTCAAGCAGGTGGTAGTCTATTTCATCTCCTTGTGGTAATGACAGATGGCTTCAGCATTTATTCTAGTTTTCATAGACAGCATACTGATGCAATAGCCCCAAGCAAATTAAATCCACTCTAAGGTTTGTTACTGAGTCACTTTGAGCAAGTTTATGAACCTTTCTTTTTTCCTTTAACATCATTTTGGTTCCTCAGATTCCCTGGCATCTAAATGCTATTAAGAGACATAATTAGATATATGTTCTATAAAACGCTGAGAATGCTAAGATTTGATGTTTCTTGCACACTGTATATATTGTTTTATAGTTTGCCTTTTTGCATTTTCTCTTATCCTCTGCATAAATTATTCTCTTAGATAGTTTGTTAAGTACCCGGAGGAGAAAGAAACCAAAATGAAAGAAATTGATATATATAGGTGAATTTAAAAAAAAAAAAAAAGATCTGAATAATGAAGGCATAAACGAGACTGGAATGAAAAAAGTAATTTTAGTTTTGTAAATTGAAGATGCTAAATATTTTAGGTATTGCTTTCAAATTTAAGAAATAAGACAATAACACTTGCATTTATCATGTAAAATATTAATGCAGTACACTGCAAATAGCATATTTTGATGAAAGGGAGTTCAATTATAAGTTTTCCATCTTCTTAGTCACTGGCAGAGTCAGGAAAACCTAGGTAGAAATAGGCAGCTACACATCTTCTAAGGTCAACAACTGCTGTGTTTGCATGTATTAGAGTTTGAGCAAGTTCTGTAGTTGATAAAAGATCAAAATGCAAAAGCAAATCAACAAACTTACCATGTTTAACTTAAAAATAATCTGAAATAGACTTTTAGAATAACACATTTAATTTTAAAGACCAGGTAATTGAAATATAGAGAATTGATACATTTTTGAAGAGATAAACAGTTTACAGGATTTAACTTATTCTGGTTCTAAAAGTTTAAACTCCGGGATGGGGGGGAACCTATTTTAAAAATGTTGCCAATAACTTAAAGACTATTCTCTGATCAGATGGAGAGGACTTCAATTTCAACGTCTAAGCAAAAATTTCAGGGGGAAAAAAAACAAGGGAATAATTGTTAGAGATGTTAACACTACCTACTTCGAATTGATTATAACGTTGCAGTCATTCGAAGGAAGTTTTCTCTCGCAAATTTTTTGTTAATGTGAAATGGCCATTAATTATCTAGTACAGTGTGTGCTGTAAGAAACACACAAAGAGGATTCGAGAGCAGAGTGCTTTGATTACTAAAAAGAAAAACAGTAGCGCTTCACCAATTGTCTCTACGGGATAGAGACAATTTTATAACAATCCTATCTGAACTGGCTTCAAATTTCAACTAGCATTTTTCATAACAACACCGTAACAATTTTCTGCCGATTCGAATAGTTTTATCTTTCGGTAAATATTTTGTCTCCTACATGTCCAAGGACTCCAGCTATCACCGTAAATGACTTTTAATAATCAAGATTCCCCCTCAGTCTTTACTGCTACCTGTCCATACTCTTGGGCACGCGCACGCGTACACACACACACACACACACACACACACACACACACACAGACGCACACACACACGCTCTCAGCATTCCCCCCAAAATAGTAGAAACGAAGGTTCAAAACCCAGAGACACACCCATTGCCCCTTGCAAAGAATGGCAAATAAACACGGAAAAGTTTCTGGCTCGGTCAGGATAGGACATCTGCTGGGTCGGAGTTCGAGTCTTTTAGCCTTGCACCCTTCTCAGGACACTAGCCAGAAGTCTTCTTCGGAGGAAAATAGAGCTAGGGGCTTTTTCACTCTGATTTCTTTCTGGTCTCGTCCTACCCTTCTTTCCTTCCCACCTCAGTTTCCTTAGCTATTAGGGGCAGGGACTCAGAAAGAGTAAAACTCAGTTCCTTCTCCGGGTCTTTAAACTTATAGGGAGGGTACCTAAGTCTCCGCGCAAATTTTGCGCGCAGTTCCCACGCTAGCGCTTCTTGTCTCCAACTTTCCCCACTCGCTTTCTTCCGACAAATGAACTTTTCCCTCTACAGCGAACGGTAGGCACAAGGCGGAACTGTGAAAAAAGGTGAAATGACCATTTTTGCCCCGAAACTGACAAATTACCCCACTCCCGCCCCCTCTCGGTAGATCCTCCCCCAGTGAGCGTTCATTAGCATAAAACTGGTCTGGCTGGGCTCCCGGTCCCTTGGCCGCGAGGGTTTGCGCGCTTTGCCGGGATGGGGAAGCCACCTCACAGCTACTGCATTCAGATCCAAAGAGCATCCCAGTGCAAAGCCTGTACCTGCTCATTGCGTGAGCTACTAACCTTAAAAAAGAAAAAAGGAAAGGAAAAGAAAGAAAACAGTTTGGAGAGATAAAGCGCGCGCACGCGCGCGAGAGCTGTGGTCTTCCATGCACACCTCTCCAGTTCAGCTTTCCAGAGTCTCAGGCACCAGGTCACCTCCCCGTACAGAAGAAAACCTCCTGGTCCCCTCGCATCTGCCCCGGGGCAAACGTACTCCTTTATCTACTTTGCACACGCACGCGCTCACACGCGGACACACGCACACATGCGCGCACACACAGACCCCTCCCCTCGCCGGGCTTCCCCTCCGGGCTTTGGGGCTGAACTCACTGCGGGTCCCTCGGGACTGGCCCCGGGCCTTTCCGCCTCTGAGGTCGTTCCCTTCCCGACCCCAAAGTGGCCCACTCCCGAGACTCCCTCGCAGGCGCCTCACCCAGAGCTCGTCTTTCCGCCCCCCGAACCCTGCGGGGCAGGATCACGACCTCCCTCCGCCGACCAGCCCCGCGGGTACCCTTGGCTCGCGGTGGAACCCGGGTCCGAGGGAGCGCACACACCGGCAGCCTCGCGGAGGGGGGTCCCCAGACGCTGGCGCGGCCCTGGAAGGGGCTGTGGCTCCTAGAAAGGCACCATCCTCCTCTTCCCCGCCCTCTGCTCAGGAGGACTTGGGGTCCCCGCGTCCCCCAGCATTAGCCAAGCCCCCGCGGGCTGGGGAGGAAGGG